AACAATATTCAGCCACATTCCAACACAGTTTTAATACCAATGATGGGATTCAATGCAATGAAAACAATGAACTTCCCAATACTCAGGGATGTTGCAACCTGAAAGATAAGACAATTTCAAAACGACCACCAATCAGGATCATTCTTAGAAGACATTATATATCTGTGCTACATGCAGTCTTACTCTTTCAAGCAGATAGCATTATTCAAACACAAAAACAGAAAGCACAAACGAAAGACTTCAGTTTCACTCATTGGGAGCACCCATACATGTCAGTTAGGGCTGGGCAATGAGTCGCTTTAGCAAAATCCGGATTTTTATGTTTGTGCACCTGTTCGGCAAATAATATGATGCGAACCGCTTCGACAAATGGGTTAGAATCACTTCGACGAACGGGTTAGCATCACTTCAGCAAATGGGTGCACCCACTTCGGCAAACGGGTCGGGCAAGAGTTAAGAGTCTGAATTCGGATAATGTTTCATTGAGTTATCCGGTTATCCTTATAGATTATCCGGATTGTGCCCACCTCTAATGTCAGTGTCAAATGTGTTGAGAATTTAAATTCAAATCATGCACTATTAAAGAACTTATAGCCCATCATCAAAGCAAACACCTGCAAGACATAACTATCTGTATCAAAACGTTTAGGGATGACAAAGATTTTCTGTTATGGAAAAAAGAGATTGAAAAAGAGACATCATCACAGTATGCTCAAACCAGAGTATCCGAACCAAAAGTAACTAGTCATTGCATTTCACATATAGGTGAGACGTGCTAAGAAAATGAGTTACTTCTCGTATTTTAGCCTTGTAGAAATAGAGGTGTTGAACTGATAGGCTGAGTTTTTACATTTCATTAGCTGGAAATAATGAAAGACACGATAAATTTGAAAAAAATGACATCAGTTGAGAGTCTACAAATTTACTCCTTTGTTGATTTTCTGCCGATATCTCCATTTGTGAAGTGCGAGAAGTAATTCATTTTGTCAGCATGTCCTACATATTATTATTGCCATAGGTCTGGAATACAAAGATTTGTTTGGGTCCGTAAGGGATCCAGAAAGTCACAATGATCTTCTAAAACAGGTGATAAATGTACTAAAACTACCTTCATTATTGCGCGTAAAAAAGTTTTGGATATGAGCAGTACAGTGGAATACTGCTTGCAACATATTGGTCAGAGCTTTAAACTTGGGCATCAAACCATTTCAATTTATGGGCAGCTTGTTTTCGCATTGGAACATTGGCAAACATAAACATGTTTGCAGAAACATTTTATCATGTCCTAAAAGATATATATATTTTAACCCTATCCGTATGACGTGTTTTACTATCGTATCCATATGGCGTGTACTCTGTACAACCACTTCCCAAAGAGCAAGTTTACTTGTTAATCCGAACCGTATGCTTTGCATAGCAGTCTGTCAAAATGATTTTTTGAGAAATACTGAAAGTTTCAAAGAGATCTTCACACTAGAAGCATTCTAAAATGTGAAGAATACGACCCCAGGGGTACAAAATGACCCCGGGGCTCTCGTTCGCCTCTCTTTCAAAGGTCCCAGTTTCGAATGTGGATTGCGACTGAAAATGTTCTTCTCTAAAAATTTGTCTCCTTTCCTGCTCTCTAACAATGTTCTGTTGTCTGCTTTTGTCTCCACTTTCTGCCCCCACCCCTTCACCTCTTTTGCCCCCTCCTATGGGGTCTTGACTCTTTCTGCAGCCTTTCTACTTTTCTTTTCCTTGGCCCCTTCTTACTGCTGTCTTTCAGCCACATCCCTGATCTTCTGGTAGGAAAGATCTACACCTAGCCTTTTCGGACAAGGGCGAAAAATCTCGGAGGTCTTGTGCGCAAGCTGTGCTCGTTAAAGATGCCTTAGTGGTCTAAAATCGATAAGATTAGGCTTCGGCCGCCACCCTGGCAAAATTCAAAATTTCCTACCAACCGAAAATGTTTCATGTGACCAGCGCGCTTATATGACCTTATGCAGTTGCGAGCGTCGTAAGATACTTTTTAAAAAAAATACCCAGGCCTACGGATAGGGTTAATAGGAAGCAAATTAAAATTGGCAATTTGTTACTTATCCTACTGAAATGGCACGTGCGAATGAGAGAAAGTGAGAGAGAGGGAGGGAGGGAGTGGAGAGAGAGAGAGGGAACGGAAATATCTTTCTATTTACGGAGAACGAATGTTTTGATGAATATATGTAGTTATTCAAGTTTCAATTTTATTAAGACCATTTGTGAATTTTTATTGCATTGTTGTATATTTTTAGTCAACGTTTTGCCAAGCTCACTGCGAGACTGTTTTTCTCATGGAATGTTTTTATAAAATATGCATATATACATAATACTGTGTTTTACGTACTACTGTGTGTTTTACGTACAATGTCGATTAATTATCAAGATGTGCTGTCTTTTTGATGTAATGCGCATTGAGCATTTTTTATAAAATGGAAATTTACAGCACAATGCTTTTATTATTACTATTAATATTCTTATTACTATTATTATGTGCTGCAATTTGCTCTGCAAAGAGAGCAGCTTGTTTCCCCTTCCCCATCCTCACAATCACAAGCAACATGTATCCAACAGTTACACTCTGCACATTCAAACCAGTTGACATCTTCACTTTCAGTATTGTCGTCATGTTCCCAACATTTCGTACACACATCTGAAGATATTTTAGATAACTCATCATGTAATTTAACTTCAAGTAGAGAATCTGGTTTCTTCAAAGATAATTTAGAAATTTTTTCTGGATTTTCGTTTCGTTGAAAACAATCTTCGCTGTGTTTCGAATTTTTTGTTAGAAAAAAAAAGGTATTTTTCTTGGTAAAAGTCTTCCCTAGTACAAGATGTCTTGTCCCACATTCAATTTGATAAGCATCTCTCAATCGTTGTACTTACTATAGTTTGTAAAGTGTTTATATCATTTTTTTTTGCGTCTGGTAATAAATCTATTAAATCACTTGCAATACCCATTCCCGTTGAAACTAGCTTATCTACATTATTACTTGATTCTGGTTTATTTTCGCATAATACTTCTTTACACAATTCAAGACGGTCAACAGTCTCTTGTTCATCAAGTTGTTGCTCAACTTGAGGGGTTTGTTGCTTGTCCCTATTAAATGCCATGTGAACAGCATGTGTATGTTTACATATGATATTTTTGCGTTGGAAATCTTCACAAGTGCAATAGTACATATGCACACAAACAGAGCATAAATCACATATTAATTTACAGCCACAAGGTCTGCCAGAATTTTGTGTAATATTATACATTTGATTAGGTACAGATGAAGAGGGAACTCTCCACTCAGTGATTTCATCATCCTCTTCAGCATTTCTTTTTATGCCTATAATGTTTTCTCCTTCTCTGTGTCTCTTTCTTATCTCTATCATGTGGGAGCTCACTGTCCCCATTTCCTTGGTAATCAACTGTTCAGTTGCCTTATCTTCGGCAATTTTAAGCAGAACGGCCAACAAATTATCCACTCTTCTGTTTTGTATTCTGTTGAAGCAGTTTGTTTTCAAAACACGGTGAAACAACGATTCTGCATGCATGTTAGTATTCGTTGGTGAATCAATGCGGAAGCAATGTGCCCATTGAGAGATTTTGCCTTCACTTACATATGTATTATCAAAATAGGTATGAAATGTAGGACAACGTGGTTTTATGTAGGCCAAAAATTCTTGAAGGCTCTTGCGGAATTCTGATTCGTCACGCGGCTGTTGTAATGCTTTGATATGTTGATAAATCTTTTGTGCAAATTCATTCATGATCTTTTATTATCTCTTGTGCTTTTTGTCTCCAAGCTTTATCTAAATGCCAATCACAGTACAATCTTTTTTGGGGTTTGGGAAAAACTTTGCACCAGGCATTATAAAAGTTATTGGCAAGGTCGCTCATAAAAAATTCAGTTTCAAATGACTGATCACAATTAATTAAAACAGCTTCCAAGAAAATTTTTAAAATGTTGGAATCTTCTCGGTCAGATATTGCCCAGGCAACGGGCATAGACTGTCAATAATCATCTAATACTAAAATAGTTGTTAGGTAAAAGTCATATTGAGTAGTGCCATGTGTAGAGTCCATGAGTATAATTTTTTACGCATGTTTTTTCATCATTTGTTGTTGAAATTTTGTTTGAATACATAATAAATTATCTTCAATATTCAAAAATTTAGGTTCATTAGTCTGTTGTTTGAAAAACATTATTGGATTGTTGTCCTCTTTACTTAAAATCTAATTCCTCCACCCATAAATCTACGCTAGTCTTGTCATCTCTGTGCTTTTCGGTGCGGGATATATGAAACTGTCTGTGTATGTTGTGTAAATCTTGTGGTCTCATTAAACTGTCTCTGTTAATAACGGTCATGCTCTCTCTGAGGTTATAAAGTAACTTATAAGGCTCAACGTCTTGATTTAATTTCCCGGCGACGTGTGCCCTAGTTTCAGCTGATATTTTCAGATGACACAGTTTAAAGTCGTGGCCAGTATGTTGCAAACAGTATTCCACCGTGACGGACCCATCGTTTATTTTTTTAAGAGCAGTCAGGTAAGCTGTGCAGTTTCTTCCCATTCTGCACAGACCTACAGACTTTGGTGCTCGCTTGCGAACTTCTAACTGTGAACGTATTCCAGACCTGTGACAGTAAAAACCGTTGACACTGAATGGTTTCTGTATTACGGGTAATAATAATGGTTGAACCACAGGGTTTATAAAACTGGGTGGATGTTTCTTTTTCTACCCTATTTCTCCACTCAAAAAAGTATTCCTCAGATGGGAATGTGTGTTTGAGTATTTGTAAGTTATGCTGGTGTTGAATGTTGTAATGTTGTATTAATGTTCGTATTTGTGAACACTTGTAATAACATATTGTACAAAAGTTTTTATTAGTGTATGAGTGCGTATTTTGAAATTCATCAGTGTGCTTTCTTTTTTTGTGTGAAAACAGTGACTGCCTACATTTATTGATTTAAACTCTTGGCTACAAAATTAGCAAATGAGCAGTGTTAGTTTTGAGTGTTTTTCTTTTATGTTGTGCCCTGTGGGACTGATGGTGTGCGTGTTTGTGCCCTGTTGCTTTAACTGTTGGGCATTGCTGAGGGTAGGCTGTGAGTGTGACTGCTTGGAGTTATCACCTGTGGGACTGATGGTCTGCGTGTTTGTACCCTGTTGCTTTAACTGTTGGGCATTGCTGAGGGTAGGCTGTGAGTGTGACTGCTTGGAGTTATCACCTGTGTGACTGATGGTCTGCGTGTTTGTGCCCTGTTGCTTTAACTGTTGGGCATTGCTGAGGGTAGGCTGTGAGTGTGACTGCTTGGAGTTATCACCTGTGGGACTGATGGTCTGCCTGTTTGAGCCCTGTTGCTTTAACTGTTGGGCATTGCTGAGGGTAGGCTGTGAGTGTGACTGCTTGGAGTTATCACCTGTGGGACTGATGGTCTGCCTGTTTGAGCCCTGTTGCTTTAACTGTTGGGCATTGCTGAGGGTAGGCTGTGAGTGTGACTGCTTGGAGTTATCACCTGTGGGACTGATGGTCTGCCTGTTTGAGCCCTGTTGCTTTAACTGTTGGGCATTGCTGAGGGTAGGCTGTGAGTGTGACTGCTTGGAGTTATCACCTGTGGGACTGATGGTCTGCCTGTTTGAGCCCTGTTGCTTTAACTGTTGGGCATTGCTGAGGGTAGGCTGTGAGTGTGACTGCTTGGAGTTATCACCTGTGGGACTGATGGTCTGCGTGTTTGTGCCCTGCTTGGTTACCTTTGCTTGGTGCTGACATTTTGAACTGGGTTTGGTTGCCACAATTTTGGCGCTTTGTGTCTGTGTGTGCTTTGTTGTCGCTCTTCTTTTGCGTCTTAACTGGGGATCTCCACAGTACGTGTGGTCCTGTGTGTGCTTGTTTGAATGTGCTGTGAAGTTTTGGTTGCATGCTGAATGCCAGTGTGAAGTGTGTTCATAGGTCTGGGTTTGTAAGAAAGCAATGTCAATGGCACCATCCATGAACCAAAACATCAGCACTCTCCTAAGGTAGTGCTGGTATCTGGTTGGTTCATGAAGGAGCCGTCTTAGTCCCGAACGAGGTCCTGTTAGTTCTTGAAACAGGTGGTTGTCCAGAGCAGCAACAATTGCACAAACAACCGCCACTACACCGCAGACATCACTACATGTCTGAAGAGGGTAGTTACTACAGTTGGGCCTGCAAGTGTGGTTGTAACCTAGTAGTAGTGGTACATGCATGTCATTGACAATTCCCTCATTCAGGAAAAGTACTGCAGCTGGTCATGGGGAGGACCCCACGCTAAACTATCACAGTATTTGACCACAGGCCGGTCAGACAAGTCAATGTTAATCAGTACCCAGTGGTTCCCTGGCCTCTTAGGTGTAGTAAAGTATACCTCATTAGGTGTTTTGCCAACATTGGCCACAAACACCAGTTGCTGCAGCAGGTCGAGGTTCCATCCCTGGACCATCCTCCGGAACAGGTCTGGGTTGGAGGCACAGAGGCACTGGCGCAAGGTGGAGTCTTGGGCCTCATTTACCCGGTCCAGCAGCCAGACGATATGGCCAGTATTGAGCCAGCCGGTCCCGGT